TCTTATGGTAGTCATTAAGCAGATTGCTGTCAAGGAACATTTGGAGGATGTTGAAGTTGTTACATTGTTCTTCACCAAAGAAGGAGGCGTCAAAACATTTTCCAAATTGCTAGCTGGTGTCTTTTTCATGACTTGATTTAGAGTTTGCCAAAGGGATGGTTGCAGTTCCCCTGTTCGCAGAGGGAAAACAATGAACAAATGCTAATCCATTGTATGGTTTGATATTAAAGTATGAAACACAGAGACTTTTAGAAATAAAAATAGACATTTTGGAAGGCACCTTCATAAACCAGATGGAAATAATAAGGTTCTAAAATGCAAGTCATAGGAACTTGATGTTCAATTCAGGTTTAAGCTAGATATATGGTGTCCTGTTAGTGCCATTAGGAGCCTTCCTCGAAAAGCACAAGGCAACTTTAAAGGATTGGTTTTTGTTAGGATTACAAGGGGAGAGGGGGAGAGGATTAAATTTTCCCACCTGACCTGCCATGGCCCTGGTAAACATCACCTCTGTCTAAGCTGCTACTCTTTGAGTCTTTTACAAAAACTAACCAGCCAATACATGTTCAGTGAAAAAGGATATTTATAATCACATATAGTTTGATTGTATGCTCATCATACATCAGTTTATACTCATTACAGTTCTATTTTTGGTCTCCTATTAGATTGCTTGTGCTATGTGTCTAAAATAGCCTAGTGCCGGGTTATCTGAAGGACTGCTTACGCCAATATGAACCTATCCTAGTCCTAAGGTCTGCTCTTTGGTCTTGTGCTATTTAAGATCACACAAATGGGTACGGAGCACAGGACTGGTGACGAAACCTGACGCCACCCCCCCCCCGTGCTGAAGACCTTTGCGTTGTGCTAGGGGCTTTCCCGACATGAATTTGACCAAGCTCTGGGAAGCAGTGGAAGCCAGGAGGACCTGGTGTGCTCTGGTCCAGGGGGGTCACGAAGAGTGGGACACAACGACTAAACAACAACAGGGGCTTTCCAGAAGCCTGTCCTCACTCCTATAAACCGTGCCAAAACCTTTGTGTGAATATATTATCTCAGATCACTTTAACTTTTATTTCTCAAGCTGCTGTTCTTATTCATACTTTATTGTGTTTTGGGAAGTGTTTGTCTGGAAAATCAGACTACAAATGAACTAAACACAGTGATGGCCCAAGGAGGCTGTTGCTATGTGTAAAAGTAGAATCCTGTGCTGTGTCCAGTGAGGCCCAGGCTTTAATGGTTGCCCTTTCCCTGCCAGTTAAACGTGTTTTTCAATTGTGTTATTCTGCAAATTTTATGTTTTCCCATAGGAAGGGCATCTGCAAACAAAAATGATCAATGCTGGCTTGCGCTATGGATATGAATATCTTGGCAATACCCCAAGATTGGTTATTACCCCTCTTACTGATAGATGCTACAGGTAAACCACAAGTTCCTGAATGATCTGTGGAAACAAAAGGGGTATCTGTGTTATGTAATAGGAAGAACATAATTAATTCAAACACCCTGGGAATTGCCACATTGGAAAATCGCAAGTCTATGTTTTTTATTATTATTATATTTGATTATGCATGATTTGGATCTGCACAGTTAGTTTATTCATTTAATGTAGCATGTATGCCTTTTTCTTTTGGAAGGTCAATCACTACAGTATATGATGCCAGGTGTTTTCTGTTTAAGGCAGTATCCAGTGGTTTTTGTTTGTTTTTGTATGTATGTGTTTGTTAAAATACTTATGTCTCTCCCTCTACACATCAGTGCTGTATGTAACACTTATGTCTCTCCCTCTATCCAGAGAACTCAGTATAGCTTTAAGATTTAGTGGATATCTTAACTTATTTTTTTGGTTCATTCACTCATTCACTTATTTTTGCCAAGTGGTATCTATGTTTGAGTGGGAGATTCGAAATGCTGGTGCTTTCATAACACTGAACCGATGCCTATGATGTACTGTTGTAAACTGCCATTGTGTTGCCTTGGACCCACTGCTGTTCAACACCTGCTCTAGATAAATCCGCCTAGGGCAGATAATAAAGAATAGAAAGGGGAAGAAGAAAAAAACCAGTGCTTCAGCCGCTATTCCATTATTTGCAAGGCATTTCTTCTTCAGCACTTTTCCTCTTTAATTCCAGAACACTCTTTGGTGCACTCCACCTTCATCTTGGCGGGGCCCCAGAAGGTCCCGCTGGAACGGGGAAAACGGAAACGACAAAGGACTTAGCAAAGGCGGTCGCCAAGCAGTGTGTGGTTTTCAATTGTTCTGACGGACTGGATTATCTCGCACTGGGAAAGTTCTTTAAGGTGTGAATGAATGACTGTTGGGGGAACATTTAGTGTTAAGCATCAAAAGCACACCATTTTAACAATGTTCACACAAGAAGTACAGGCTGTGTGCCTGTACTGGTCTTTTTACATGTGTGAATAGGTTCTAAGGGACAGAGTAGAATAAATGATTAAGACTTCTGTTTTCTTTTGTAGCAAATGTCTGATTTATTTTTAAATGGAAACTACATACTTGGAATAAACTTGGTTTTTGTCTGCCTCTTTTTAGGGTTTGCTGTCTTGTGGAGCTTGGGCCTGCTTTGATGAATTTAATAGAATTGACTTGGAAGTACTTTCTGTTGTTGCTCAGCAAATTCTTACTATCCAGAGAGGTAATCTTTTTTTTTTTAATGTATGCTGAGTTAAGAGATGGCCTATTACAATTATCAATAGAGTGATACATATTTCCCTTTGTGCCTAGGTATCAATGCTGGCTCCGATATACTCATATTTGAAGGGACTGAGCTTAAACTTAACCCAACATGCGCTGTCTTTATAACTATGAATCCTGGCTATGCAGGACGCTCAGAGCTTCCTGACAATCTGAAGGTAAATGATGAAATCAGAGCTTAGAGATGCGATTCTACGTACACATTAGTTTATATGGTTTTTGCCTTTATTTTTTCTGGTGAAAGTCGAAGCATGAAATACAGAAATGAAACAGAATTATGGTATGTGGTTCCAGTATGAAACCAGTGGAGGCATGTGGATGATGGTGAGGGTCGTGATTGGGAAGCAGGCCTTTTCCTGGGCTGTACTAGGGGCTGAGAAGGAGGTTCATGGTAAGTGCTGTCAGTTGTTACTGCTGTTAGATTAAGACAGGTCCTGGGAAAACAACTCTCTCTGAGTGTTGTTGAACGGCAGCTGCCCTCACCCATCACTATAGATGAAGTGGAAGGAAGCTGCAGGGAATTCAGTCCCACAGTATCTTGAGGGCCACATGCTTCCCATCTCTGAGCTAGGCATCTTGTGGGTCTTACCTCAAGATGCTAAGAGCTTTGGGGCAGCAGACAGGACAGTCCTTTGGCTCACCATCTTTTGCCCTTTTTGACGCTCTTTCTTGACCTGGTGGCACCATTTAGGGAATCTCTTCCATGCAGCTGACATGAGGTTGGTCCTTAAGCACCCCGTCCTCTCTCTGCTTTTGTTGTAGCTTCTTCACCTTGACCCTTTTGTGAGACAACTCTTTGCTTGGAGGTGATGACATGTTTTTGTCTCTTCCTCTTGCTGGGTGAGACATCATGCTTCCTTGGCTTGTGGTCCATAGACTGATGCTTTTTCTTCATGAATATAAAGCCATGCCAGGTGGCAGGTTAGAGATGGGCCAAGTAGCATGAAAGTTGCCTTATACAAGCAAGGACAACCATTGGGCTACCACGTAGGGCCAGTGAACCCACTTCCGTGTCCTTCACTTCCTTCCTGTGTGTTTGCCTTGCCAAGGGTTATATGGCTGGAAACAGGATGCCAAATTAGATGGATCCTTGACTGGTCCAGCAGGGCTCTTCTTACATTTTTCTTTTTTGGGAGAAAATAAGTGGTTTCTCAGCTTTCAACCCAATCTCTGGCCCTTTCTTTATCAACAATTTTATATATTTTCTTATTTTAGCAGTTTGTGTTTCTGGCTCATGAAGACTTTGATGCGATGTTTAAATGGTATTTTGTATCCATTATGTTGAGGGGCTGTTGCCAGTAACTGGGTGACCTCTAGTTGAGTTTAGCTGCCACCTGCCGCCAATCTGCTCCAGAAGGAGAGGGGAACCTCAGAGCAGATTTAGGGGTGGAGTGGGGGAGTGCGGTTGGAGGAGAATAGAGGGAATAAAACTCTTGTGTCAACAGACAGATGCTTGTGTATGACTGGATGTTGCCCACTGTCCTTACCACAGTGCATCATCCAACAAAAGGAAATTATGATTTTGGATTACAATTCCAGAATCTTCGAGCCAGCATGGCAGTGTTTCCAAGCACTGGTTTGGGCAAACATCATGATAGGATCCTGCAGTTAACCTGGCTATCAATGATTGTCTCATAGGCCCTGTTTCGGACGGTGGCTATGATGGTCCCCGATTATGCCATGATTGCAGAAATTGTCCTGTACTCCTGTGGATTTGTTACTGCCCGACCTCTGTCTGTGAAAATTGTGGCTACCTATCGCCTGTGTTCAGAGCAGCTGTCTTCCCAGCACCACTATGATTATGGGATGAGAGCTGTGAAGTCAGTGCTCACTGCAGCTGGGAATCTGAAGGTAAAAAAAAAATCATGCACCCATTCTGTTCAGTGTGGCATTCTGGTACTACATAAGAAAGAGAACTGAGCTTTTGTTTCAAATCAGAGGTTGGATTCCAAAAGGCCTTTTAGGGGCATAAGGTATAGTTGCAAGAAGGCTCTTTGCATTTGCCATTCCACTGTGTGAAGGGCCACTAGGTCCATGTTTACATATTTATGGTTTTCCTGTGTTGCACAGAAGCTGGGTCCACAGGTATGTCTTGGTTTTGTCAACCACCAAGCTCAGTCAGATGAGTTGGGCCTCTCTATAAGCAGCAGCTTTCTTGTTCCCTGCAGTAGTAGGGGTTCATGAAGCTTCTACCAGCAATGGTAGGGAATTCATTCAGGTGTTGCAGAGCCCCTCCGAGGAACTTTGGCTGGAAATTTGGTCACCTCTAGATTTATCAGAGTCAGCCAAGCTCTGGAAAATGCATCTCATGTCCTAATACTGTCATTTTGAACTGGCAATCTGATGAGTTGACCATCGTTCAACCCAGTTTGCATGTACATATCCTTAAAGACTGACACCCAGTTCCCAAGGGTGTTAAAGAAGAGTTAGAGGCAGAAAAATGCACAAACACCTCCCTAGACCAACTTTCCTCAGCCTCCCGCCTTCTAGATTTGTTGGCTGACAACTCCCATTGTTCCAGCCAGCATTACCCCTTTGGCCATGTTGGCTAGGGGTAATGGGGAGTTGCAGTGCGAATTTAGGGAAGATAACATTGGATGTTTAAATAGGATCAGGCTTTGTGAAAGTTTGCAGGACATACATTTGTGACATATAAGTTATTGTACTTTTTTTTGTAAGCCAAGAATCAGACACTCTGAAAAAAAGTTATCTGTGTGTAACACTGGCATTTGGGGAAGGGTTTAAACTGAAACACAATTATAACTCTGAAACTGATGTAATCTTTTGTATAGCTGAAATATCCAGAAGAAAATGAAGAAATCTTGCTACTTAGATCCATCATAGATGTAAATTTACCTAAGTTTTTATCTCATGACCTACCACTTTTTGAGGTAAGGGATTTTAATCCTTTAATAAGACTCCAAGAGATAAGAAATAGAAGGGTCTCTATATTATAGCCTATCTGAGATTCTGTATAAATGTGTTAAGAGTGGGTTTATCTGGACTCATTCCAGTCTGGTTTCAGGATGGGATTTGGTACCAAAACAGTCTTGGTTGTCCTGACGGATGGCCTGCTTCCAGATGAAGACATGGGAATGTTGTCCTGTTGATCCTCTTAGACCTCTCATTGGCTTTCAATTCTTTTTAATACTATTAGTCATAGTATCCCTTTGGACCAGCTCCACAGAATGGAAGACACTGTGCTTCACTGGTTCCATTCCTACTTGCAGGACCACTTCCAGACACTGGCAGTGGAGCATTTCTATTTAGTCCACTTATAAGGAATGGGGTGCTGCAGGATGCCATCCCCCCTTCCTGTTTTAATATATGTTTGAAGCCACTGGGGAGGTTCTGAAGAGTTCTGACAATGGGTGCTACAAGTATGCCAGTAATACTCAGCTGTACTTCACCTTGTTGTCAGAATCAGCTGAGGTTGTGCAGGTGCTGGACTATTGTGTAGACGCTATAATGGGCTGGTAAACTGAAGCTGAATGTTGCTAAGGTGGGGGGTATGTATTTTGGTCTGGGAATTGGTAGGCAGCCTATGAAGGAGCAGGTCTGTAGTCCGTGGTCACTGGAGAATCAGGTGAGCAGCGTGACTTGGGGTGTCTGGAGTCAGCTTTGATTGACCTGCAGGCTACAACCATTCCTGGACAGGGACAATCTGATCACTGAAGGAATCCTAGTTAGACTAATGCAATGACTTCTGAGTGGAGCTGCTCTTGAAGAGAACCTAAATGCTGCAGTAAATGTCAGATGCAGCAGCAAGGAACGCCTTTCAGAACCCACGTGATACTAGTTCTTAAAGAAATGTACTCACTGGCACTGCTACTATGCTTCTAGTCTGAGTGTAAGGTGATGGTGGTGTCTTAGGTAAAGGTAAAGGTTCCCTTTGACATTTAGTCCAGTCATGTCCAACTCTAGGGTGTGGTGCTCATCCCCGTTTCCAATCCATAGAGCCAGCGTTTGTCCGGAGACAGTTTCTGTGGTCATGTGGCCAGCGCGACTAGACATGGAATGCCGTTACTTTCTCACCGTGGTGGTACCTATTTATCTACTCAAATTTTTACATGCTTTCAAACTGCTAGGTTGGCAGGAATTGGTACAAGTGACAGGGAGCTCACTCCATCGCGTGGATTCGATCTTACGACTGCTGGTCTTCTGACTTTGCAGCACAGAGGCTTCTGCGGTTTAACCCACAGTGCCACCACGTCCCAGGCTATTTAGAAGGCTATTTAGCCATTTAGAACTTAGGTGGTGTCTTACTAAGTCCTAAATGGCTTGGGAGCTAGATATTTGAGGGACCAGCTCTCCCTATTGATACTTGCCTAATCATTGAGATCTGCAGGGGAGGCTCTACTCCATGTGCCATCCCTGACAACCATACAATGTGCGGAGATGCAGGAGTAGCTGTGGGATGCTGTTCCCTTAGAAGCTCAGTTGGTTGCCGCGTTGTTTTCATTGTGGTGCCAAATTGAAACATCCTTGTTCAGCAGAAAGTTTCAGGTTCAATGGCTTGAATAGATTGTGGAGATTTTTTTTTTTGGTAAGTGCTTACTTTTAGGTGGTTTAAAATGATTTAGATTGTTTATGTATTTTAAACTGTTTTCATTGACTATGCAAAAGCCTTTGACTGTGTCGACCACAGCAAACTATGGCAAATCCTTAAAGAAATGGGAGTGCCTCACCACCTTATCTGTCTCCTGAGAAACCTATACGTGGGACAGGAAGCAACAGTTAGAACTGGATATGGAACAACTGACTGGTTCAAAATTGGGAAAGGAGTACGACAAGGCTGTATATCGTCCCCCGGCTTATTTAACTTATATGCAGAATACATCATGCGGAAGGCTGGACTGGAGGAATCCCAAGCCGGAGTCAAGATTGCCGGAAGAAATATCAACAACCTCCGATATGCGGATGATACCACTCTGATGGCAGAAAGTGAGGAGGAATTAAGGAACCTTGTAATGAGGGTGAAAGAGGAGAGTGCAAAAAACGGTCTGAAGCTCAACATCAGAAAAACTAAGATCATGGCCACTGGTCCCATCACCTCCTGGGAAATAGAAGGGGAAGACATGGAGGCAGTGACAGATTTTACTTTCTCCATGATCACTGCAGATGGAGACAGCAGCCACGAAATTAAAAGACGCTTGCTTCTTGGGAGGAAAGCGATGACAAACCTTGACAGCATCCTAAAAAGCAGAGACATCACCTTGCCAACGAATGTCCGCATAGTCAAAGCTATGGCTTTTCTAGTAGTGATGTATGGAAGTGAGAGCTGGACCATAAAGAAAGCTGACCGCCGAAGAATTGATCCTTTTGAATTGTGGTGTTGGAGGAGGCTCTTGAGAGTCCCCTGGACTGCAAGGAGAACAAACCTATCAATTCTAAAGGAAATCAACCCTGAGTGCTCACTGGAAGGACAGATCCTGAAGCTGAGGCTTCAATACCTTGGCCTTCTCATGAGAAGACTCCCTGGAAAAGACATTGATGTTAAGAAAGTGTGAAGGCAGGAGGAGAAGGGAGCGACAGAGGATGAGATGGCTGGACAATATTGTAGCTACCAGAATGAATTTGACCCAACTCCGGGAGGCAGTGGAAGACAGGAGGGCCTGGCGTGCTCTGGTCCATGGGGTCACGAAGAGTCGGACACGACTAAACGACTAAACGACGACGTATATGTTTAATTTGTTAAAGTGTTTTCTGCCGTTTCCTTCTACCCTGCCCTGTGATTTCCTCATAGAGGGCAGGATAAAAATATTCTAAGTAAATAAATGAATAAAACCCATTCAGCAGGTATGAAGAATAATATTCTCTTCATTTTTTATACAAAGTTGTCATTGCTTCAGTTTCAGGAAAAAGGATAGTTCAGGTGCAAGTGTCTCCTGTCATTTGGAGACACTAGGGGAAAGGATGAGTACCACGTAGTCCCCTAAAAGCTGCTGGACAACAACATAGGCTGTGCTGGCTAGTTCTGAAGGCAGAGCAAGATTAGCAACATTTGGAGAAACACATGTTCTCCAGCCCTGTAGCTTTATTCTACAGTAGTTGTCAGTACCTGGCTTGGCTGTGTCTGTGCAGTTCCCTCCCATAAGCTATAATTGCTCCCATCAGCACTTGGGTGATAGGGGAAATGCAGGGTGGCAGTTAAACCACTTCCCACCTCATAGTTCCTGCTTGTCAGCTGATGGGCTCCAGCAGGAGGTGCCTGCTAGTTTGCTCTTGCTTCCACTAGTAAAGAGAATTTTACTACACACTGGCCAAAAAGAAACACTGATGTTTTGGAAATGGGCAACTAGTCAATTTTGCAGCCAACCAACAACTAGTGCCATTGTGAGTCACGGTCTTTGATTAACGTGTTTTTGATTAACGTGATTAAGTCCTCTCTAAGATGTATTACTGCCATTTTTTGCCCCCAACCTCCATTTTAAAGTCAGAAGCCTATAAATACAAACTGTTATTTGCTTATAAGATGGCATCGATCTGCTGCGTGTGTGTGAATATCCTGGTTCAACATCTCATTTTCATGGCATTCAGATGATATAGTCGTCCTTTTTCTGCAAGCATTAGATCCATTTAATGTTCTTGTCTGAGAGCTATCTTTTTATAGCAAGACGATTACCCTGCTGGCCTGAAAGAAGGTTTATTTCTCACGACTGTAGTACAGAATATGCAGAGACTGCCTGTGATAGTTATGGTTAAAATGCAGTGTAATTCTCCCTTTGGCAGGGCATTACTTCGGATTTGTTTCCTGGGGTGAAGCTGCCGAAGCCAGATTACAACGACATCCTAGAAGCCATCAAGATAAACTGCGATGAAATGAATTTACAAATGACTAAATTCTTTTCAGAGAAAATCTTACAGATATTCGAAATGATGATTGTGCGTCATGGCTTTATGATAGTTGGAGAGCCTTTTGGAGGAAAAACGTCTGCCTATCGAGTTTTGGCCGCTGCGCTGGGTGACCTGTGTGAAAAAGTAAATAAAGTCCTTTCTAGAAGACATTGTGTCCTGAAAAGTGAACAGTATGCTTTCAAACCATTTTTACTCCCCTATGAATGTGCTTACAATGGAAGGCTTGAGGAATGTTTAAAGACCGGAAACCTTTGCCTTTCTATATATTTTGGGCTTCATCTCCCAGAAACTAGCACAGCTTGATGGCAAAGGGTTGCGAGAGTTGTAGTCCAAAGCATATGGAGAGCCAAAGTTTCCCAGTTTTGTTTTTAAAAAAAAATTAAACATTTTCTGACAGTTTAGAACTTGATGTAACCAATACTGATAAGAAGAGCCCACAATGAACTATGTAAGAGATTCATTCCCATTATTCTTCCTTTTTTGTTTGTTTTATATATATACATATATACGTATATTGTTCCCACAGCCTTTCAAGGCAAACGTTAATAGCTTTATTCCTGCCAGCAGAACATGGATTCTCCTCTCTTCATGTCATGTTTCAAATTATTTGCCCATTCAATTTGGTTTTTCACTTCCCTCACAGAACGGGCCTTTGTAGTCAACTTTATGTTCCTGACAGTCTCACCTCAGAAATTACAACAATTAGAATTGAACTGGCAAAGTTGCCTTAAAAACACAGTTAGTTACTATAACTGTGTTTTTAAAGAAAATACAGTGAAACACATTAAGTTACTGTAATACTATTTTAAAAAAAATAATGGTATGCTTTCTCATAAAATATTATACTTTAGTTACTTAAACACCCCTCCCCAATGCTACAAAGTCATTGGCATGTAGTAGAGAACACATCTAAATGACGAGGTCATATAGCTAAACTCTAAAACCAACTACGGTATAGCAATTATTTTACTTACATTGCAGTGATATTTTTATGACAAATATTAAATCTAATCAAATAATATTGACTCTGTATACTTAGGGGCTGATGGAGGAAAACAAGGTGCAGATCACAGTCATCAACCCCAAAGCTATAACTATGGGTCAGCTTTATGGACAATTTGATCCTGTCTCCCATGAGTGGTCTGATGGCATCCTGGCTGTGAGCTTTAGGGCATTTGCTTCTTCAGCTGTAAGTAATGAACATGTTTTTGAAAATGTTACCATTAGAGATGGGAGTATTCATGTTCAAATACCCCCACGCAGCTGGAGTTAACGAGGGTCTGGCTCCTGGGGCCGTACCATCCAGCCTATTCTAGATGTCTGGCTGATTAGATAAAATGAATGCTATGGATGAGTTACAGTGCAATCTGAATTCAAAGATATCCCAGTTGTAGGAGAGCTGGAACCGACAGAAGTTCCGTGTGATGCCCTTATGCCTCCAGGACCCTTAACATGCAATGAAGAATGTGAACCCTCGTTAGTGGCAATTTGCTGGTATAGTTTGTGCCATTTGACTTACTGGCATATGTATATGTTAGAATTCTTCCCATTAACTAACAAGATTCTCCCCTTTTATGACATGCAACACCAGTGGCATGAGGTAGCTATCCCACTCTCTATAATGTTCATGACATCCCTGCATATATCTAAATCAAAAGAACTCTGCATATTTATTTCTTTTTTTTAAAAAATGAAGTTCTCACCGTGCATTACAACAGCTGCCATTTCAGAGGCATTTCGCAGAAGGAGGAATTCCCAGGGGGTTACAATTTGAAACTCTTTTGTTCCCAAATTGTACTTCTTCTCACCCAGACGCCTGATCGGAAGTGGCTGATTTTTGATGGCCCAGTGGATGCAGTGTGGATTGAGAATATGAATACTGTGCTGGACGATAACAAGAAACTTTGCTTGATGAGTGGTGAGATCATCCAGATGTCACCACAAATGAGCCTGATTTTCGAACCAATGGACTTGGAAGTTGCTTCTCCTGCTACTGTGAGTTTACGCCATTGGAAGGCTTATTTTCAGTTGTGAAATAAGAGTATTGTGCAAAAATCTTTTGACTATGGTGTGATGGTGCAGACATTCATATCCGTGAAGGTTTACAGTACAGTATAATCATGTAAAGTGAAGAACAGACAGCATGATGGTCTCTCTGTTTTTGAAAGGTATTGAAACAGAATTGATTGAGTTTCAGCATCATTTTGAATGACTGGATGGATGGGTGGGCAGACAGATTATGTGTATCTCAGTGATGGTTTGCATCATGCAGAGGTATCTGAAGGCCAATAGGAAGAAAAAGCATAAAAACAATTCTTGTGGCAGACTTTAGAAATGAATGGATCTCATCTACAGAAGGCACAGAGGGTGTTCTTGTTTAAGAAATCGTTTATCCTATCTGTTAGCAAGGTGGATTTGATTTAAATGAAATTGATGTAACTCATGTTTTAAATTTAAAAATGTATGTTTTTATGATTTAATTTTTTTTTAAAATTTAAATCACATGTTTATATATCCCATTATTTAGTTCTCAAACTTTTGTTTGCTGATGTATGTTAGGCTCCTCCCTTTCTTCATTGACTCCAGCAGTCTTATGTCTGTTTGAAGGAGAGAAGGGCCATATTTAATCAAAGAGCACTATGCTCTAGGTAGGGTTTTAAAGTCTCGTGAACTAACACCAGCTCTATATAGAGGGTATCTAGCCATAATTCTTTGTGTTTATAGAAAGTACGAGATCCAGAAATACAAACGTACAGGGGCAAATCCAAAAGTTAGTCCCAGCTAAGGTTTGCTTATTTCCTCTTGTGGCCCTGAGGATCTTGTGCTAATGAGCATACATGTATAGGAGCTGTAAAACTATTTCTACAAATCGATGCCAACTTTGTTGTTAGTCTTGATTATCCATTGGAGCATAGTTACCATGCCTCATTCTGTTGTTCAGAATGTTTCTTTTTGAGCAGCAGCTCCCAGATCCTCAAACTGGTGGATTCTGGGAGATGTTATTCATTGGAGTATATTTTCTCTCAGTTTTGCTGTTTTGAGTCATATTAGAATTTCTTATGGAAGCAAGTTGCAAGACTTCCTGTGGTGGTCTTACCTTTTTAAACTCTCCTGGATCCTGCATAATCTGTTCTGCACAATCTCTGGAACTCTCTGTTGGATATGTTTCTCATCCCCGTCATCCTTGTCCAACCTCACTGCTTTCAGATATCTGGAAATCTCCCATGCTCCTCCATCTAATTGCCCTCACAGATGTTTTTCACCTGAAACAGTCTCCTAGGACTCCAGTATGACACCATCTTTCCTTCTTTCAAATCCTTCCTCACAAATCTACTTTTGTGTGAAAACTCTGGCGCTATCTTCTAGTTCCCACACCAGACTGTAACTAAACATTGATATGTGTAGCTGTCATAAGCATGTATTTTTCCCCATTTAGCCCAACTCCGTTTTCTTTTCCTCCTTTGTTATAACCCCTATGCTCAGTTACAAGATGGAAACTCATATTGAGAGGAGACCTTGTAAAGCCTGTTATGAAGATAGATAGATAGACAGACAGACGGACGGATGGGTCCTTTCTGACAATATATTTTTTAAAGGTTGTGAGCACCTAATTGATCTGCCAGGAGAAGCTTTCCGTTTATCTTTGTTGTTCTCCCTATTTTAAAAAATAATTCCTTAAGCACCTGAACTTAGAAGTTAATTTCCTGGAAAACATTGAGAGGTTTCTGAGTAAATGTGTTTAGAATCAGCATGCTAACAAGTTCTTGTTAGCTTTCATTCTTGCATACATTTACTTTGCTGTCCTGCTGTCCTATATGAAGAGTTCTGCTTTCTTAAAGTACCGTAATTATTTGAAAACATCTGTTATAATGGTATTTACAAATCCTGATTTCCCTTAAAAAAATTTTTTTAAGAACTGGACCATATGTTCTTTGTCTTCAGGCTTGATAGTGTCCAACTGAATACACGTTTCCTCATGGATAATAATTTTTTTAAAAAAGATAGTTTCAGAAGAAAGTTAAATATAATTTGTGATTTTTTCCCCTCACAAAGTTGAATTTGATTTCCATGTACTGTATCACTTCTGCAGAACTAAACCTCATACCTTTGACATGTGACAGGATGACTTGTGTCCATATATTGGTGACTGTCGTTTTTGTTCATATTGGACCTAGAAGATATTACAGCCCAATAATTTGAATCATTTATTTTTTACTTTTTTTATTTCAGTATATTTGTATGTACAGTGATGTGGTATGTATACTGCTAGGCTCGTTCATATTTGTACCGGTTCTGTAGGCTACGTGTGCCGTCTCATATAAATCAAATTCATTTTCCATCCTGTTTCTGGATCTCTGCTGCCCCAAAATTGTCTTTCTTTTTTTAAAAAAAAATTCAAAAGTCATATCTTTCTAAAGCAACATATACATTTCTGTGTAATTATGTAACTCTGTAGAAGACAGTATTGGAATTTGATTCATAACCTGCCATGGGCACCTTGTTAGGTTTGAGAGTGCTTTATTTCTCAAAGGATACTAGGAAGAAGTGGTTACAACAGGGAAGACATCAGTTAAATGATATATTGGTAAACTATTGTGGAGAAAAAATATAAAAGAAAAAGTAAGCAATTTATCGCTAAGCATTAAAAAAAAATTATAAAGGGCACAAGCACAATAGCCATGCAGTGGCCATGACACCTGAAAACCTGATCCATTCACAAAGTAAATACATCAGCAGCAATGTTCACATATGCCAAAACAATAAGGATTGAATTGTTACAGGGACTGGATTTTTTTAAAAGGCTATGCCTTTTTTAAAAGGCAGGTGGAGGGGGGGAAAGGCTGGCCAAATGAATAATGTTACCAGTGCATCGTGTGAATGGAAATTTATAAAATGATTTAAATGTCAACATAATTGATATAACTGGGATTCTTTTGGCATGTGTGGCTGTATCCTAAGGCTCCTTTTCTAAGTCTCACAAAAATGAAAGCATTTGTTTAGCTGTAGACTGAGTGCAGTGGGAAGAATCGCTTGCACAACTTCAAAAGGTTTAGGGAAACTACTGTGTTTCCCCAAAAATATGACAGGTCTTATATTAATTTTTTGCTCCAAAAATGCATTAGGCCTTATTTTCAGGGGATGTTTTATTTTACAGTCATGTCATCTTCTTCTGGCTGTTGTACAAGGGTGGAGGGCGGGGTTTCAGTTAACTAGGGCTTATTTTGGGGGTATGGCTTATATTGTCAGCATCCTGAAAAATCATAATAGGACTTATTTTCAGGTTAGGTCTTATTTTCAGAGAAACAGGGTATCAGTATTTAGATTTTTGAAAGCTCATGTTTTTCCATACTCAAGATGAAGAAATGTGTAGATTTTAGTAAATTCTTCAAAAACAAAGTGAAACAAAACTCCCCTTTCTCTACACTTGTAAGATTGAAGATACCCCATATAAAAAGGACATTGTGCCTCCTGATATTATGTGTCAAAGACGAGCAGCTTTTCAGTAAAAAGAAATGCTAGCTCTAATTTAGTGCTAACATGTTGTGAGACCCACTGGTACCACCCCTGGTAGTGCCGGTAGCTTCAGAGTCTCTCGGCAATAATTCCAGAGGCTCCAGGTTGTAAGAATAAGCAGCAACAGCCTTTATTTCCCCAGATGAGTAGACAGGAATAGGAGCAGAGACTTTAACTCCCTCAATGAGCTTCGGGGTGGGGGGTGGGGGTGGGGGGTGTTGATTTCTCTGCACTAAAGCCCTGGGGAATGTCCTCTTAAGAGGGGTCCTTGTTAATGTCAAGGAGTCTCAGCCTTGTAAAATGGGAGAGGAGGATTAGTTGTGACTCCAGTCAAAGTCCTTTTAATGACAGCTGGTAGACGTGGATGGAGGGCATGGGGGTCCAACTGTTTTGTTCCTCTTGAAGCCCCTTCTGTTGTCTGTGCTGGTACTTTCGTTACCAGTGCCACAGCCACATTGGACAGCGCGTGCACCAAGGTCACAATGGCGGTGCTGAGGGCTCGGGCAGTTCTTGCACAGGGTGTCCTCATCTGCGGTCCCCTTCTCCTACCCAATGGGCAGGGTTCAGGGACCTCTGTTCAGGGTTCCTACTCCTCCCACTTGCTTTCTGCCTCTCCTAAGGAGCAGAATTGGAGCCCCAAGTCCCAATAATTGTCCCCAGATCCAAGGTTGCCTCTTAGGTGCACACCTGTATGTGTGACTTTGCCCACCTCTGTTCAGGGCTCCTCATCCTCCTCCATGCACCCAGAGCAATAGTTTTCAGCCCCTTTGGTGTTGATCACAACTGGACCCCACAAGCAAGCCGGGGGGGAGTCGCACATGTGAGGGGCAGAGCCCCACCCAATGAGGCTGAAACCTAACAGGGACATTGCCCAGATCTCTTTTATCCTCTGAGGGTTCTTTCAAGGAAGCCCCCAAGTCCTCCTGTGTACCATTTTATTTTGCCCACCACCTACTCCTACTGCCTCTGAAGGTGCCCGTTACCCGTTGGTGTCTTGGTGGACAACTGTCATCCCTCTTTCCTGCCTTCTAGGGGGCTGGGAGCCAGGGTCTGCCCCGGGCTCTCCTGGGGCAGCAGAGTGAGGGCAGACAGCCTGCTTAGGGCACCCATGCTGACACTCTCACACATGGTTAACATATAGGGATTCAAACCTGAACTTCTAAAAGTAAGGCACTTTACTTTTACAAGTAAATCATCGACACCATAGAAACCACTCTCCCTCACCTCTTCACTTGGTATGCTCAGTGAGGGTTTTTCATCTGACCTCCCACCATGGAGACTGGTAACAGCAGCACCTTTTTTCTATCATCTCACCTGCTACCTTTATTCCACCTTTTTATCATCAGAACATGCTTTGCTTTTAATCACTGCTCCCATAAACTTAATTCTAACAGCCTCCTTGGGAAGGACAAGATCAACAGCTAAATTGCAACAGGACAGGACCTGGTTGTGGGGGGACATCTTGGTTTTATATTCTTTATATTCTTTATTTTATTTTTACTTTGTTTTATTTCATTCTATTTCACTTTACTCTGCTTCTTTTGTCCTCACTCATCTTTCTTAAACAAACTTATACTCTTACACTTAGAGGTAGGGTGGTCGGATAGGCTTTCTTCCTTTCTTTAACTATACAAGCTAGCTTACCCTAACCTAAGTTTCAATAATTATTTAAATGCTATTAATGTCTTGCTTATTTTTATTGATTCCAATTCAATTAATAATGTGTGATTTATTTTGTTTATGCTAATTTGTTAACTATTGTGTACTTACTCTTACCTTAATTGAGTTCTCTGCTACTGTTAGACTGTTTTGTGCTAGAAATGGAGAGGAAGGCCTGTCTACCAGTAAGGGCTTCAAGAACATACAGGTGATTATGGGTAGGGGAAGATATGGTGTTGGTACAGCTCTTAGTCATTCCAGAAGAACGGTGAACAGATGCCTGAAAGCTGTCCATTGTCCTGGTGCTGTTGTCACCCATCAGGCTCGACGTAGCCAGCTCAGTTGCCCCTCCACTCTAACTTTGGTGCTGTTGAATGCCAGGTCTGTATCCAATAAAGTCCAGCTAATACAAGATCTTATTCTGGAAAAGGATGTAGATCTGGCTTGCATAACCGAGATATGGATGGGTAGTGAAGGAGGTGTAACCCTGTCTCTGGCCTATCCC